CACTGAGTTAAGTGACTTTCATCAGTCAACATAAGGGTTACCAGGGGACCGTTGAAGGAGGACATTCGAGTTGTTTGGCATTTTGCTGTAGGATGGTTCCCAATATATGCATTAATAGGAACCCATGTCCGCGACTTATGTCGTAAAAAGTTGACTGTAGCTCACGCGCTCAAATGTGGAACGCCTGGCAGCAGCCACTCAACCCAGAATGATTCACCTTCTCCACCAAAGTCCATCTCCCAGCTACAGCTACAAGAAGCATGTAGAGGCCATTGGAAATCGGTTATGGGATTCCCATTACATCTTACTTGTATAAGGAGGATTACGATCTCGCTAACTCAGCCCACATGTACCACATTATCCCAATATTTCCTACAGACTCTTGCGCAAACATAGGTGTTGTTCATGGGGGTACGAGGAGTTTAGACTGCGGCAAATGAAAGTCTCCGAACATCAAGGTTCCGAATACGGCGGATTCTACTACTTGGGTGTGTTTAGGCTGGACCTTTCCATTTTCCAAGCTACCCATCTCGAATGATCTCGAATGATAAGCGGCTTTAGTTATCCTAACTCCTATCATAGGACACTAATGTAATCATATGACATATGATAATTATAGGATCATATTGAAGGGGATGGGATAACTAAAGCCCTGTTATTGTTTCAAGAAGCATACCCCTGTTGAAATAATTTAGGTGCCAGAGCGCCCGAGAAGGGCCGCTTAGCGGCGCTGGATGGAGCGAGATGCATTGCTCTTCTGTGCTTGGGATTGAAAACATGAAGCATGAAAGTCAAAGCTAGACCAGGGACATTCTAGGATTTCATGGTGGCTATCATGAGATGTGTTACAGTGTTAGGTGATGTTGAAAGATGACAGGGACTCTTGTTGTCTGTTAGAACTCTATCGCCTTCAAAAGGGGGACAATTCAAGCCTTCTTGCTGTTCTGTGGATGCTTGCCAATGTGCTGGCTTTCTGACATTTGCTTTTGTCCCGAACCGGAAGGCTTAAACTGGAAACCTCAAATCCTGAAACACGTTTTGTGGCTAGGTGGGTCTTTGCGCTTCACTCCTTCCGGTCAGAGTGGGCAGATTTGCGCGATTAAAAGGGGCTCGTCGGGGACCCCACTCTAAATTCCAAAATCGTTTTACTTCAAGATGTAGGTATCATTCCCCGCATGTTCACACCTGCATTGCCACAAGAGCTACCTACACTTAGAGGCTCCATCTGGATGTTCTCAATATCATGGTTGCCTTCATACCATACCCCCAAATGGCTAACCACTTAGCCTGAGGATCCCGACGTTGGTTATACATTTCAGATACACACCTGGAACATTCCCACCCTCTGAAACCTAAAGCCTGGACCGTGTAAATCCTAATTTTAAGGCCGGAGGCATTCAACTTCAGAATCGGACCTCCGAAACTGTCTATTTTGTCGCAGCCTGAATAATTTGGAAACCTATCCCCTCCTAATTAATAGATGTTTTTGTAACTTTTAACTATAGCGCTCTTCGCCTGCAAGCTCGATTCCTAGCATTCGGACCCACATGCTATCCTTGTCCACCGTTTCCATATTTTCCATTTGGTTTGCATGTTTAACTCCAACGTAGGCCGCGAAAGCCCCAACCCAAAACCTAAATCCTTAACTACAGACCCTACTTACAATCAAACTTACATCCTACAGCCCCAACGCTAAGCCCAGTCAAGTCCTTGCATTGAGGCATTTTCAGAATTGGGGGGATCCCCTTACCCTCAATGACCAATGCCTGCAAGGACTGAGAAAAAAATAAACTCGAAGCCTCATAAACCACAAGAGAATCCTACTTCAGCACATTCTCTTTGCCGTTTGATTCTTCACTATTGAAGTCGCTGAGGTAATATCTCCCAAGCCCTATATTCCCTACAAGCCACTTTGAAGGGAGCGCCGGGCAAGGATGCGGGCCTTTGGGCCCACTTCACGCCCTGGAATCTTGCCAACGTTGTTTTTAAGATGGGTTTTTAGCGGGACTTAGGGGGATATAGGTAAACGTTGGGGTATATGAGGTTTGGGGCATAGGAGTTAGGATATAGGGGAGCATTCTTATCCCTTGGTGTTCGCAAGAGGCGAGGTAGGGCGGAGATTTGAGTTATGGTAAGGTTGTTTCTGTGTAGCAACAAGGTGCTTAAGGTGACTGCAACAGAGAGCGCCAATATTTGGAAACGTACCTACCTGGTCTCCAGGAAAGTTGGGTCTTCCGCCCGGTATCGGTATCACCAAAACTGTGAAGCCTAGCATATACAGGTGGAGCAGAGACAGAAGACAAGGAAGAAAATGACCGCAGCACGAAGTATGACAGGCTCGCATGTAGAACTTGGAATGGAAGGTATGAGGAGGCCGCGTGTAACATGACGATCAGCTTCGCTGTGCGGTGGACGCCATCATCATCATCATCACCACCATCATCATCAGCAGCAGCACCAGCACCGTCTTTGTAATCGTCGTCGTCATCGTCATCATGATCTTCATCATCACTGCGTCTTTCCATTTCGAAACCAGCCATCGTAATCGCTGCTTTCAAGTCTTCAGCACAAAGGTCCTCTCGACTTTCTTTGCAGTCGCAGTTGCGCAACTTCGCTCTCGCAGAAAGTCTAATCGATTACCCATGGTGACAGTTTCAACGTCAGATGTGTCCATCTGAATGCGGATTCCAGCGCTGTCGCAAGGTAAGGTGAGGCTTTCCAGAAATGACCGCGATTGAAGGATCCAAGGAGTCGTAGGTTCAGGGTTCAGCAACGCCCGCCTTTGCTGAGACCAAGCCCAAATGAAGGCTGCGCAAGCGTAGGCCTGTAGGCCTTTTGTCTTTTTATGATCTCAGGTACTGGTGCAGGTCCTTCCTGAGCTGGAGCTTCTGGTATCGCTTTGCCTTGGTCTCTTACAGTGCCTTAGGCTTGGAAAAAGCGTTTGCTGCAGGAGCAGTGATTAGAACCTGCCAAGGTGTAGGGAAGACGGTGTAGAGAGCCTCATGTTGAAACATATTGGCGCTTTACTCAGGACATGTTTGCTCCCACTGTAGGGTTTACGCAAACCGCAAGCCGTCTTGGTAGCAAAACATCAGTTTTGGATTTGAGTAAACCTTGGGCAAGTTACGCGTTGGCTGAAGAGAATTCGTTGCGGACATGCCCACCCCCCACATGTTTGGTTGGTATCTTGGGTACAGATTTTCTGTGGCTCTAGCCACGGGAGCCAAACAGATATCTCTAAGCCGTGGGCGCCTTCAAGACCAAAAGCGAACATGGCCGCCAGCATTTCAGGTCAAGCAGTTCGTTAGAGAGTTCGACACTGCCCAAGCTCGTCGGTTCCAAGGGGTACATCCAGTATCACAGTAAATTAAACTCCGATCCATCAGAAGAGGGCTTTCTCTCAATGTTTGATGCCCCTCTACCACACCAGAAAGTTTTGCCTAGCAACAGGGAGGTGCTGTTTCCTTGAAGATGCGCTGCTAGCTGCTAGCAGATTGCCATGCAGCTGACACAGCTGGTTGCGGGAGTTTGCCACAGACCGGGCTCTGGGACTATGATTTCTTTGCGGAGCATTGGGAATGCCATTGTTTTTGTGACGTTGGGCTTGGCTGCATGTGCAGTGGTGATGAGTGCGACATTTCACTCCGAAAGTACCAGCGACAGGGTTGCCCAAAGCAGGTCCTTGTCCGCACACGGCCAAGATGAGATGTTTACGTATCACAAGACACTTTTTCCCCCTGACGGAGCAGATGTCCTTTGCTTCACTGTAGCTGCTGCAGGACTCATTGTTGCTGCAAGTGGCGGCATTGGTGGCGGCGGAATTCTCGTACCTCTGTACATGATCTTCTTGCGCTTTCGGCCAAAGCATGCCGTGGCTCTGTCAAACTTCACCATCCTGGGAGGTGCATTTGCCAACACGGCATTGAATGCCCCCAAGTTGGATGAGAATGGCCGCGCACTAATCAACTGGGACATCATAGTGATGATGGAGCCGGCGACACTGGCCGGGACAGTCCTGGGTTCGTTTGCCTCGAAGTATCTCGCCGATTTTGTGTTGATGGGCTTCTTGGCAGCTGTACTTGCAATCTTGTCCTTCCGCACACTGGACAAGGGACTGGAGATGTTTCATCACGAAAACACCAGGGATGCAGAGCTCCAAGCTGTGCCTCAGCATGAAGATGCCGACATGGCCGATGACTTTCAACATGAGGCGAGTGATGTTGATGATGAGCCGAAGGAGTCGCGCAACCTCGTCGGGGACGCACGTCTCCGGACGGTGGGAGAAGGGACACCATGGCTCAAGGTCTCCTTGCTGGTCCTTTGCTTCATGGGCTGCGTGGTTTTGACTGTTCTGAAAGGCGGTGGTCAAGGGTCAGTCGTAGGTGTTACATGTGGCTCCAGCAGCTTTTGGTTGCTCAGCTGGGCACAACTTCCTTGGGTCCTGGGCTTTGGCCTCATCTTCAGAGACATGCTCATCAATGAAAACCTGGACAAGGAGGAGGATGGCCATGACTTTGATGCTTCGGAGATTCGCTGGACCTCTGCTACGACCATCCGTTACCCACTTCTCTGCAGTTTGGCCGGCATTCTTGCAGGCCTGTTTGGTGTCGGAGGCGGCATCATCAAGGGGCCATTGATGCTGGAGCTTGGCGTAGCCCCGCAAGTGGCCTCAGCCACTGCTGCTGCAATGATTCTCTTCACCTCCATGGCTACTGCTGTTTCCTTCCAAGTCTTTGGCCTTCTTGAGCCAAGCTATGGCTCCATGTGTTTCATGCTTGGATTTTGTTGCACACTGCTGGGACACTACATTGTCCACTCGTTTCTGCAGGGTGCCAAGCGGCAATCGCCGCCTGTACTATCAATAGGGTGCGTGATGGCTGTATCCACGGCGCTGTTGATTGTAGAGACCATTGGAAGGCTCTACAACATGGACTTTGGGAAGCTCATTGAGCCAACTTCCCTGTGCAGCATTGATGAATGAAGTTGTTGTGCAGATATCCTCCAGCTTGTGACCTTCGAATTCGGCAAGATGAAAATACTGCGTTCTTGAAGGGAAAACATTCCCGCAAGAAGCTTCGAAACTTGGTAGCCGCCGTGACTTCAGCTTTTGTAGGACCTTCGTTGTAGCAAGAGTTTGCATTTCATGATTTCCGGAAAGCTTGAGTTCGCACTTGCCTGCAATAGCAGCTGCAATGCAGCTTGCCCGCACAGACCCTGCCCTCATCAGTATAATTAAGGGACCGGTAGCGTCAAATTGAGATGCACATTTATCGAATCTGATAGCTGCGATGGTCCTTCTCGACAGGGGGTGCTCTCAATACTCTCGCGAATAGCTGCACACAGTATGCTGGGGGAACCCTTGCACCCTTCCTTGATCCGAACAACTTCAATTTTGTTTGGCCTACAGAACAGGTGTCTTCTGACTGTTGCATCCTGCTTGTCGGGGCCGAAGGAATGGATTGCTATACACACCCCCAATAGCCAATCCTTCGTTGCTTGCTGACAAGAGGCAAGGCAACTTGGGCTCATAATATCGGGCTGTACGTCCTCAACCTGGGTGATGTAGCTACTCTTCTTACCCCCTAATGTTCCGTGTCCCCTCAAGGTCAACAACAGTGCCTCTTTTCTGAGAGACCTCAGAGTCACTGAGGTGCATATGTGGTGCAGTTCATGGCTCCATTGCCTTTGCGAGCTGTAGACCAAGGCCACTGGGTCCAACGGCATGTTGAAAGATCTTGGTTGGGCCTAGGGTCAGTCAAGATTATGCTTCTTTCTGGAGGGCTCTATCCTAAGGACTCTACTACTTTTCGGGGGGACCTTAATCTGGGGAAAGACACACGTCAGCAGTTTTGTGAGCAAACATCTGAAACTCCTCAGAACTTCCTAGCGCTGGTGCTTGATCGATCGGCCGCTAGCAGCAGGGATCCCCATTTGCGCATCAACCTCACAACCCTGACATACTCTGTGTTGATACAAAATCAGGAGGAGAAAATGGGCAAGCGCAACTAGAACCATCTGACGAAATATGCTACTGCCATCCCCCCTCGCACGACCCCCTCAGCAAAGCCACCACTGCATCATTCTCATCAGCCTCAACTTCCTGGATCAGGTTTGAACTTGGACTGGGCTGGTCTGGGCCCGCAAGACACGATGGCGGCGATGCTGCGGGCCTTCGTCCAGTGTCCTGATCCAATGTTGCCAGTGTGGCCTGTAATCCCTAAATAACCCATTGTAGTAGCTTCCATTTTTTCCATTATCCCCATATAACCCCAATATGTAATATAGTATATTATACTATAAGTCTATAAGGGTATTGGAGGAAAGGCCTAGGCCTTGCGCTCCCCAGCCTTTCTCAGGATCATCAAACGAGGTCTCTGAGTGAAGGAGGTTCACTGAGGCTGGTGTTAACCATCATAGTTTTCAGCTTAGATTACTTCATCTTGATGAAATACAACTCCCTGCTTTGTGTGCGATTTCCAGACAAGAGTTGACTTCGGACAAAGGCACCACGCGACCCAGTGATAGCCTGCACTTTCTTGCAAATTCAGCTTTCTGGTGTATGTTATGCGGCGCCTATGTTCTCATTCGACCTTCAGCAGAGCTGGGCCCAACTATTGAGACCAGTTGTGGAATGCACTTCCCTCACAGAGGTCAACGGGTGTGAGGTCATGAAATAAAAGAGCTCTCAGCCAAACTTGTTCCATTTCCCCCGTTTTCATACAAAAGCGAGGTTTGCATGTTGGACCATCCTCTCCTGCCTCATTGCGCTGCCTTATTACGCGTGCGTGGAAGCACCTGGAATGAGGCGCGGAGTTCGCCAACAAGAACAAGTTATTCTTAATGTGTGGTAAACAGGGTTGACTTGACAACAGTTGCAAGGCAGTTTCCCTTGTGGGCATCTGGTTACAGAGGGCAACAGTACCCTGAGGCTCGGGCGGCGGTTGGCAAATGCCATTCGGTTTTGGACCACGAAGAATGATGGCAGTGGCTGAATAGCAGAGCAGGCTTCAAGCCTTTTAGATGTTGCTGCAGGCTGAAAAGGGTTTATTTGGTAAACCCCAATCCAAGAATAGGGACGTGTCACTGTCGCAGGGTCCTTGAAAAGGAGGCTGGAAAGGCGAGAATAGCTTTACTGTAGCATGGGCCATGGGGATCACTGGGGAGCGTTTTGTGGTACGCGCGCCAGAGCCCGCCACCGAAGGTTAGACGTCATGGCTATCAGGCATCAGGGCGCAGCGTTAGGAGGACGATCGAAACAAGAAAGGGATATGCAAATTGGTATATGTACATAATAAGTATATATGTATGTTTACACAGCGAGATACAAAATCGTCATACATGCCTGTGTGTGCAGTCACTATTGTTACAACTGCCTACCTGTTCTGATGTGCACACTAAGGTGATGCAACGGAGGCTAGCCGAGAGCAGAGTCTCAACAGCATTGGGCTCTCCAAGCAGATTCTGCAACTCAACACCATGCGAGGGACCACAGACGTATAACAGCATGACAGCAGGGTTACCCGGGGATGTACCACCAGTCATGTTGAGCATGCCAAGTGCTGCCACACAACTGGCAAAGCCATTCACCAGCGAGACTCTGCAGGAATTTTGGCATGTGGCAGTTTCATGTTGTTCTGCGCATGGAAGGTTGGATCATCAACAAAAGATTCAAGACTTTAAGCTACAGCTGGACTCTTTGGTCGTGATCTTTGTGCCTGCAAGAGGCAAACTCCGGCTGATCAAGCCTGCTCACACAAGGCTGGCGGGGTGCTGGGTGTATCCAAGCGTAGCATATGGCTGTTTCTCGAAACAGGTGCACGCAGGGACCTCTAGGGATTTGTGGGATTGTAAGAAAACTGTGTGGGTTTGGTCTAGGGCGTACGTGAGGATCAGGTCAACTGGCTTTGGAACACAGGTTGAGGAACAGCATGCCCAGATGGCGGTTCCAACAATCGAAGGGCCCCCAACTGGGTTGCGATAAAACGGATTGACAGGTTTGGGGGGGAATATAATATGGATAATCCCTGTCTTGGTGTAAAACACACCTGGTTGACGCAACCTGCGTTCAGGACTCCCACTGTGAATGTGGCTCTCGCGAGGCCACGGTGAGCAATCTGGCGTGGCTTGCTGTTGTATGATGCTGGACGGGAGTTTCTCAAACTGTTGGGTCTTGTGTGGATCATTAGAAGTTAGAAGAAGCGTATCTGTTTTGGGGCTGACTTGAGGGGCCTTCATGTTGAGTGACACCCAAACAGCTCTCTCAACAGAGGCCCGACGCTTATATGCTTAAGCAAACCCAACAAGGGCCCGACGCTTATTTGCTTGAGCAAAAGCAACATTCGAACACCTCCGCGCGGAAAAGCACCGGGCGGTGCACTCCCATCTCCGATTTTTTGCAGACATCCGCGGCACCGCCGCATTTCTGCCAGAAGCGCTGGCTTGGTGCCGTTTTGGTCGTGAAGGCCGTTTTGACATGTTTTCCCTAGGCACTCTGCCCGTTTTGTTTTCGGAAAGTTTTGGTGGGAAAAACGTGCGTCAGAGCGTGCCCGGCGAAAGCATGTATTGAAGTTCCACAGCATTTGTCTTGAAACGAAGGGGCGTATGCCAACATGGAGATGTCTACGGAACCGCTGTGGTGGCAGCCCTCAAATTTCATACAAGGACCAGAAATGAGACATGACCTTGACCCATCCCCACCTAAATCTGCTCCTGCCTCCAAATTGAAGTATCATCATGTTCCATTCCTCATATTCAACACAACAAATGTCAAATCCAGTTCAGATCTCTCTTTTATACAAAGCCAGGGACCATGATGGCACATGCCCAATTCCGAGCCTCGTGGCAGTAGCCCGCAGCTCGACATGCATAGACGTTGCACCCGACAGCTTGTGCACGGCACCTCAGAACCGGACTTTCTCGGTGCCCCCGGCGGGTCCAACGACACCGGTACATAATGCATGCCAAGCCGCCTCAATGGGAACAACTCTGGACCCAAAGTATCTGCTGTACATTTGGTACTTGGACCCTCTGGTGTCTTTTTTAACTTTTTGAATGGCTGATACAACTCTACGAGCCAATGCATGCTAAGCATCCCTCTCGGACTTGCTAGAGGGTATCATGTTCTGCAGTGCAGGAGTAGCTCCGTGCGGAGACCTCTGCTGATTAAGCTGCAGCGTGAGTTTGGCGTTTCGTGCACTTCGAGGCACTTCCCGCCTCAGAATACACAGACTGAGGCCCTGTGCCAGCGTGTGCGAAAACAGGCTCAATGCAGAATACTGCTTCTCGGGAAAGCCTTGTTGTTGAAATCATGCAGTCTCATGTGCCTTGCAACAGGTACTTGGCTGTAGCATACCTAACACCACCGGAAGTTATGCTTTGGGCTCTGACTACGGGGCATTTGAATGGTGGTAAGGGCCCTTAGATTGCAAGCTCACCTGAGGTGAGGCATTCATCAGGCCCTCAAAAAGTGAGAGCAGGTGTTGTGCTGGTTGAAATTTCAAGCATTGGTTATGCCGTAGAACAAGGATCCACCATGATCCGCCAACAACATTGCCTGTCCACATTTCCAGGACCCTGCAGGCCTCCAAACCTCAGTCCCTTATTTGAGTTTTGGGAGAGACATGTGGCAAAGAGGCCTCATAAACGGCAAGCAACCCTCATCACCATCCCCCTCAGAACTGACACCCTGCTAGCCCCCAAGCCCCTAGAACCCCCCAAATCCTTCAACTCCTAAAGCTCTAAGCCCCCAAAGCCCTAAACTCCGAAAAGCCCCTTTATGTCCTAAAGAAGAGCATGGCTCCTTGGTTGTGCATGCTCTCAGGTCAAAGCTTGGCCATACTGGTACAAAACGGCTCCGTCACCATCTCAGGCAAACTGTCTCCGGGGTTACACCGGACCTGCGAGGACAACTGTCTGCAACAATGCCTGTATGAGAGTTGTTAGGCGAAGCAAACTTAAAGACATACTTATTGGGGGTTGATAAAAATCCTGCTAGAACATGTATGCAAATATTCAGCTTCGTTTGCAGGTGGCTAGAACTGGAGGTGGGTATTCGAGTTTGGATTCCTGTGAAACTTGTGACTTTGGAATTTCTCACGAGAAGTGCACATGCCTCAGACCTGGGACATAGGCAAGGACTCAACTCATACGGTGCTGGTGCTTCAGTAGTCAGATAAGGGTAACAAGGTAGTTGGATACATGACATGTCAGAAGAATCAGATCGCGTCGTGGACACCTGGCAAAGTAGCAGCAGTAGCAACAAAGTACCCTAATTCTGGGAATCCTTCATACCCCCGAAACCCTCAACCCTAAATAGCAGTTTCCATTTTCTTTTCCATTATTCCAATATTACCCCATATGTTAACCAAAAACCCATCCACATCAGCCCTAAACCCTGAGGCCCACAGCAACCCTATATAGTCCCTGTAATCCCCGTAGTTTCCATTTTCTTTTCCATTATCCCTCCATAACCCATTAGATATACCCCATTATACTGTAGTAGTAACCACCGAGGCTCCTTTGGTCAAACATGCGTTGGCTCTGCGCAGGGTGCCAAGTCTGCTTCTGCGTTTCCATTTCACGGTATCCCAATATAATCCCAATATAATCCCAAAATAATCCCGACATAATCCCAATATGTAGCTACGGGGCAGGGCATGTGCCAAAATCTTGTCGGAGGGGTTCACTAATGGTGCTGCCCGTAGACTAAGCAGGTACAAGACTTGCACGCCCAGGTTGGTCAGCTTTGGGGTTTCGAATTCTGGTATGTTCACATTACCCACGCCTCATCGAGAATGTTTGCGCTCTGTATATGAAATTTCTTGTTTCCTGAATGGTTAAGCACCCTGAAGTCCGGACTAAGGCGCAGATCCCAACTCGGTGGATGGTGTCGGCATCCACCCGTTGACATATGCAAGGACCCTGGGAGGAGACTGTTTTAGACGTGCAGCTGCAGCATCACGGTGGCACAGGTGCCTGGATGGAGTTAGTTTTAGACCTGCAGCTCTGGCATCATGTTGGCGCAGCTGTTGGGTGGCCGGTTCTTCCTTCTTGCATGGGCAGGGAACAGTTCTAGAAGTCTTCAGAGCAAAGCAGTGGTATCAGGCTGTGGCAGCTGCCGGTGAAGGTGGCGAGGCCACTAGGGATGGGGGGCAGTTGTCAAGGCAAAAGCTTCAGACATCAGAGGATCGGGCAGGCATTGCGCCAAAGCAAGCGCGCGTGCAACGCTTTTTGGCATTATCAGGGATCTTGCCTTCATGGAACTTGATCTGCCAGGTTGCGCAGCTGCTGCCACATCCTCAAGCTGTTGGGCACGCAAGGAATTTCGAAGACTCAAGGGCATGAGATGTCCGAGTGGTCACCATGTAGCGTGATGCCTTTGCCCCTGAAATTGTTTCGTTCCAAAGTGAGCAGCACCAACCTGAGGCTGTCTGGCAAGGCCAGTGCCGTCCCCAGCCTTTTGATGGGGCCAGGAGAGGTAGGTTTGACTCAGGGCCCTTGTATGCATGGCCCTGCTGCACTTTTTGGGGTCAGCCCAGCTTGCATCTCCTGCAAGAGTTCATCTGACTAATGACTAGATCGGAAGATTTGAAAGCAAGCTGCCGAGATCCGGATGCGGCGCTTGGTGCACGGCATGTCCTGGACCTCTTCAGCCCCTGGCAGCAAGAATAGCAGATGTTGACTTGGGGTGGGTCAGGACGGTTTGACTAGAGGGGGGCCAAACAGGGAAAGTATGGAAGACGGTTGGCTGAAAGGGACTGCGGCTAGATTCTCAATGTCGCAGCTTGGATCTTCACATAAGGTGAGTAGAAACTAGGTATGTGAGTCTAGTCAATGTTCACAGCGCTGCACGGCTGGTTCTCGGGTGCAGATATTCGAGCTTGTGGTACTGTTTTGGCACGTGTAGTGGTTATCAGCATACATCGACAGCAGTGCCGAGGTACAGATGATCAGCAGCGCGTCCAGGCCAGCGTGTCACTTTGTGTGTAAAATCTATGAGGGTTTACCAAAATCAGCGGCCACTATGTTGGGGGTCCCTAGATCAAGGGTTATGTCGACGTTGGGGACTCATGCTTCAGGAAAGTATTATTCCAGCGCCGCTGCCAAAGCCCCACGTCACCCTAGAAGCCCTAAGCCCCAAATACTGAACTCATAAGCTGGACGCGGTAAACCTTAAAAACCCGTGTAGCACACATGAGCCATAAGCTAGACCCACAAGCTGCGAAGGGCGTAATGGAGCTTCAGAAGCTGGGAGATGCGGCGCGAGCCCGCTCAGAATTTTCTTTGGCAGACTGTGCGGTCCCACAATCATGGAGCAAATCTTTCACAAACCATTGCCCGAACTGTTGAAATTCCTAGGACCTAGGATTTGAGGGACAAAGGGTAGCAAAGATTCACTAATATCAGCAGTAAGGCAAAGCACAAAGTGGACAATCTTTGGATGGGGGAGCTCAAAATGATGCACTGTCATACGGACCCTGGTGCTTTGGGGGATATATGAGCGTGACAAACATGGCTTCTTCTAGAAGTGTTTTTGGAATGATCGGCCAACTAGGACGACAGAAGCCTGCAAACAAGTAAAAGACCACCCTGTATATTGCATCAAACAGGGTGAGCCTTTTTGTCACTACAATTAGGTGGCATTGGGGGTGCGAATGGGCGGGAGACGGGAGGATTTCTACAAGTTCCCACTAGACTCTTCTATGAGCTATGCTCTAAACTCCTTAAAGAGGTTGGGGATGAAAAAGGGGGATTATGGCTCATATGGACATGTGTAGGGTCACCTAAACACATTTTCAAGGCTCTGGCTTGGGGGTTGCCTGCCCGCCTGCCGCTTTAGATGAGCCTCTCGTGTCAGGGCTCCACTTTAGATTTAGGCTTAATTAAGTCGTACTTATTATGAGGGTCGGTGTTCCCTTTGATTTTCCATCATTCTTTGGGTAACATCCCTGAACCCTATACGAGCCCTTGTTTGTGCATGCGGTCTCCTTCCAGAACATTCCCAAGGCGACGAGTTCACAAAGGAGCGATTGAATCCGCGAGGCGCGAATATGTGGGGCACCTACTTGAACGAGAACATATCTCAGCCTGGGAACGCAGGAAGCTGCCCTGCCCACAAGGTGCATACGTCTTGAAGGCACGAGCTGGGGAAACACTGAAGTTAGAACTGTCCATGTCCTGTGGTCCCATGTACTTTCCATTTTGGATGACACCTGTACTATACTTTGCAATACGCCTTCCGACAGCTCCTGCAAACTTCTTTCTAATCCCGCTTTCGACCCGCTTGACCCGAATCCTTCCATCTCAGATAATCTCGGCACAGTCCGAAAAACCAAGCACATCACAGACTCCGAACCTCTAAATCCCACGCCCCATACGATAAATCCTCAGCCAGTAGCCCTAAATCCCAAATCCTAAAGCCTTGACCCTAAACTCTGCACCCTAAGCCCTAGGCCTGAGCCCTATAGGCCCCTCCCCCCAGTTCAGGACCCTCCAGTTTAGGGCCCTCCAAGGCGCGTCGTCTTGTGGACACGCGATGGGACGAGCTGCAGAGCACCTCTGATGAAGGCTCCTGTGGTTTCGGGTTTAGGCTTTAGGCTTTACGGTGAGGGGGAGGGTTGAGGGTTTGGGACTGGGGTCTGTTAAGGGGCGAGCCAGGAACGGTAAGCGGATTTGGTTTACCTGGAAAGTCCACAGGCCACGATCATAGTTTGCCTCCTGCTGATTCCTACCTACACGCTCAAAGTATGTAGAACAATGGCCTTCTGGGCTGGCTGTAGGGGTTCTGGGCTATTATTTCACCTACTTTGGTGTTCCAGGCACCACTTTGGGTTAAAGTGACCCATTCTCCTCTGGGTCACCGGGCTTGCCAGATAGGGTGCAGAAGGAAATCAGTGTCATTTGTTGGGCAATGGAAAGAATGGAAACTACTAAAATGTATTGGGGTAATATTGGGATAATTGAAAAGAAGATGGAAACTACTATAGTACCCCAATATACTATAGTAATTTCCATTTTCTTCCCCATCATCCCAAGATTACCCCAATATACTAGAGCAGTTTCCATTTAAAATTTCCTTGCGCTCGTTGGCACCTTGTGTTCAATCCCTCCACCTTGGTAAGCAGAGGCCATGGCCCCTTCGTCTTGTTACTGGTTCTTATAGTAGGGAAAACGCAATAGAATCCCTATGTTCACCGTATATTATGTGACTATATTCCCGTTTTTTCCCCTGTGTTACCCCTTTGTAGCCCTTATATCACATAATAGTACTCCATTTTATACCCCTGTATTCCCTTATTCCCTACTAATCCCCCAGTAAGTCTTTTCTCCCGCTGATTGCACGCACGGGACATTGAACCCAGGCCTAATGAGTCCCTTGTCCTGCACCCTTTCAACACCATGTGACCTGCTGTCCATGTTAGGGTTCTATGGGAGTGTTGATTGTAGCTCATGTCAAGTTGCACTGCTTTACAAAACGGAAAGCAACATGAAGGAAGGAAATGCCAGGGCCGCAGACATTTTCGGTCCAAGAAAGGTGTTTATGGGGTGTCTTCAGGGAGCTTAAGACCAAGGATTCGATTCTTAGTTTGCGCTATAACAGAACTCACTCATCCTTCATACCTGCGCAGCATTAAAAGTGGTCGAGTCGCCAAAACTTTTCCAGCGAAACCTGAAAGTACGCTGAAACCTCTTATGTAGCCTCTCAAGCCTTGCGGATCCCACAGGTTCTTTGTTCAGGGTTTGCTTGCTGCACTTGATTTCCTCAACATTTTCAGCCTTGTCAAAATTAAAATCCCAGTTAAGAAAGTTCATGACTTCACGCAAAACCTTAAGTCCGTCTGGCCAGTCCGCCTGTCCCTCCTTGCGGCGGTGGGTGGCATTGGCCACCTGGCAGCGCCTTTGGCCCACGACGTCGCGCCGTATTCTTGGTAGGGTTTAGGGCTTAGGAGAAGCTGTTTCTGGGACATTTGCTAGCAGTTTAGGGGGTGCCCCTAAGATCTTTGATTCATAAAACCGCAAAGGCGAGCGGTAGGTGCATGTAGTAGAACATGCCCAGGGATGTGTAAGCTCCGGAGCCAAAATTGCGAGGAAACGCCGAGTCCCTCGATATATTGGAAACGACGTTTATAGCCTCATCGGTTATTTTAGAACCCTGTCGGACTTGTTAAGTGGAAGTTTTTGACCACAACTTACCTTGCATTTCCTGCTTTCCTCGTGTTTCCCACCTGGTAATGCATAAGCACATGTACTTCTACAGTTCATAAGCTGCCCATCCAAAACAAGTGGGTTTCAGATGATGTCTCCAAGGCCCTTGCTTGGTGATCCAAACCTGAAGATCGTCGAAGCGGCGAGCAAGGCGGAATACCTACACTATCCTGATAGGCCTCTCATCACTCTCCCGCACTGGTGCTGAGCAGGTTCTTCTTGCGTGTCCTTACAACTTTGTTTGGTTCAAGCTCGGCCAAATTCTACGCACGACTAGGTCATTGCCCAATTCGGGAGCGTGGAAGATTACCTCAATGAGTCCGGCCCGGCGAGTTGCCCTGTGCGACTGTTTTGTACACCATAAAGTTCACTCAACTTTAGCAAGCGGCAGACATGTGCATGTGATTGCTCGCAGCTTTGAGGAGAGGGTAATTCTAACATGCCAGGGCATGTGCTTGAGATGTTTCCGGTCTTCAAAATGACTCGACGCCTGTTCTGGAGGTAGTTGCAGAAATTGTGGTCCTCTCTTGGGAACTCTACGTACGGCGCCTCAACCTACTTCTTCCCAGGCCTCCAAACCAGGACCTGAATTTTTGTGGTCCTTGCTTTGCTCAGCCCCCATCCCCAAAGCAGACCCATGGATGTTTGCATTCTTGGGATTCTGAGCTCTTATTTTCTCTCATGGAGCCTCCAGTAGCTGATGCCAGTCCGAATCCTCTCACGCGTGCTGCGGTTTTAAAGCAAGTGGCCGGCAACTAAGCTTCTGCTATGCGGAACGTGCCTCCCGAGGATTTGGGAAGGTTGCTGGAACAAGTCCTGATAGGCCAAAAGTGACAGGACAGATTCTTGTAGTATCTGGTCTCTCAGAAGCTCAGGAGTTCTGGTAGGCACATGTGGATTACTTGCAAGGCCGACGTCGTAGCCTGCTGAGTCATTCCGATCCGTTGTGTTATCCCTGTGATCGCATTGTCTATCTGCAGTTGTTGATGGCCAACTGACTGTCATTGTTGTACTTCGTTTTTTGTAGTAACCTGACAGTGACCGGTCTGTGCAGCGTGAGTAGTCTTTGTAGTATTAGCAGTATTCTTGATATTCGCAGCAGTCTTAGGCATCGTTGGAGTAGGAGTAGTAGTGGGAGAAGTATGAGGAGTAAGTGAAGGGGTAGGACTAGGAGTGGGAGTAGTTGTCATTGAAGTCGCCACTGAGTAACAAAAGTACTCGTCGTCGTTGTCGTCGTAGTCGCGGCGGCGGTGGTGGCGGTGGCGGTGATGGCAGTAGGAGGATAACGAATAGCGGTGTTGTCGTCGCCTGATACTATGAAGAGAGCATTTGAAGAAGATTCTGCGCAGTAAAGGAGCAGGCAGCCAAAGTAGCGATGAAAACAGGATGCTAGTACATCTGCTAGGGCTTTTCGAAAAGGAGCAAGCCAGCTTCTACGATTATCTTAGGATGTCTACATATCCTCACAATTTAGCTGCAGTTGCCTTGAAAATTCCTTTGCATCATTGGAAGGAAGGTTTCAGCAGGTGCAATCACTCCGGGAGCCCGCTGCTCAGCTGAGGTCCGAGGTCGTGGACGCGAAGCGTCTGCCAGGATCCCAGAGGTTCTGCAGCTCTCTCCAAAGATCCCAAATTCCAGAATTCGTCAGGAAACTACCCTTCTGAATCCAACTCATGAATATTCTGGAATCTTCATGAACTCAAGGCAGCAACAGTTTAAAGATGCTCGGAAGATACACTAGCATTACTTGCCGGAAGCATAAGAGCTGCATTGAGGGCGTACACATTCATTAAAGCCCAGATTCTACAGTGAGCACGGTAAACAGGCTATGATTCATGGGTGTTCTCAAGATTTTTCCCAGACCACTCTTAGCCCCAAATCCTGTACCCTAAACGCTAAACCGCGACCATAGCTCGTTTGTGAAATTGAGGCAAAGTACTTGCACCACTTTGTGGCTGCACTGAAGGATGAGGCCCTTTAACAATTCGGGACTATAGGGATCATGGACAAGAAAAAGGTAACTACTACATTATTCTAGTAGGGGATGTATAGGGGTTATATAGGGTGATCTAGGGGGTAATATAGAGTAGAGAATTCACAAGAAAATGGAAACATAGAAACTGTTATATCATAGTAGGGGATATGTTATGGGTGGTAGTAGGGAATTCTCTATTTTTCTGCATTCCCGAGATAAAGGCTACGGTCCTTGAACATTGGAAAACATTGCTAGGATTTTTATCTGGAGAGTGTACCCTAAATCCCTACACCCTAAAGGGTTTAGGCAAGGGGCAGGAAACTCTCCCAATTTCGCGTCACGTGGAGCTCTTCAATTTGGAGATCGAAAAAAGCTTTGAAGCAGAAGGCTTTTGATACTATGGCAGCAGCCCCCCCGAGTTTTTCTGACGCAGGCAACATAGCCACCAAAGAGGGTCCCTAATCTCAGAGCAAAAACTTGACAGTACAGCAAAGCGGCTAGGTGCTTGTGATGTCGATGCCCATCGTAATGACGAAGCTTTGTGCATGTGCTTGTTGCAGATCATTTCTGAGTCTACGTAGAGTACTGACGTTGGGATCGATAGTCTGCAAATGACAACTACATGGATGGTTGTCAAAATTATGGTTTTTCTGAGTACCCTAAGTATTTCGTGCCGTATTATATAACTAGGGATCCAAAAAGGGACCATAATTTTGACAACCCCCCAGGGAGCAGAAGTGTCCTGGCAGGATTTCCAGGTGCGCCACGCCGGGTCGCAGGCTCTCCTTGAACTAGGAGCCGAGATTGACGTATTCTTCTTTGATCATTGACAGGGAAGAAGGAGAAATACATTTAGTAGTGCTTGTACAACCCTACTATGGCAGTCTCCAGATGTTTTGGACACGCAGCCTATGGAATCCTAAAGCTCTCTGAGTCTCTAAACCCTAAACCCTATCTGAGTCTCTGCTATACATCCAAAGCCCAGGCTCTCCTAGAGCTCATGTCCGAATTCCCCGACATCTGGGTCCCGCTTAGATATCTGGAAATAACATCTTCAATAGCAGACAGGGGCCCGCAGAATCATGTTTTTTGCTACCAAATCCGTCAAATTCGTCCAACCTTCCTGTACTGTCAAGCCTGAAAGGTTAAGAACACCATCTGTTTATCAGTCCTTTATAATTTGAGGATAACAGTACAACTGCTCCAAAAAGCTCACTAAAGGCATGTCTGCCGCACTTAGGGATCATAGAAAAGCATGATATGTTTTTTGGCCTCCTCGCACACAGGGAAAATGTGAAGCAACGCATCTACTGCGGTTAGGCTATTCGCATACGATCGGTACAAGCCCCGTGAAGTTCCCTCTGACGTCGAACCAGTACACAACCTCTACATCTACATTTGGACACGACATGACACGACGAAAATGAATATGTGCACATTTGCGAATCTGTATATGTGCGTATGTATGTATCTATAAACACATCTGGCTAGAGCCAAGCCTAAAACCCTACGCCCATAAACCTGGATTTGTTAATACCTGGCCCTGCCAAATACCCATGAAAATGGCATTTGACCGCCAAATCATGTATTTATGAGCTGCGGAGATCCAGGTGCATAAGCCCAGCACGCCCTCTTCTCAAACTGAGCATACTCGGAGGTTCCAGCTATCTACAGCCTACTTATACCCTAAGGGTCCAAGGACCCAAATAATGGGGTTTTAGGGCCCCAAATACCATTCATACTAAACTATTTGGGCCCTAAGACATTATTTGGGCCCTAAAACCCTATTATTTGAGTCCTTGGACCTTTATGGATAGAGGAGACCTCTCTGCGCCCCACGCAGCGGAGCTAGCAGCAGCGCTGCAAGACCAGGATTCGCACGGGCCCTACAAGGGTTTAGGGTTTAGGGGTAATATTAGGGGTTATATTGGGATAATGAAAAAGAAAACGGAAACTACTATTTAGGGTTTAAGGTTTAGGTAGGATTCGGGGATTGAAGGGGCTTCCCAAAACGTGGGCAGGCTCCCCTTGTAATACCCCCGAGCGTAATATACCCGCAAAAGAATGCACGTGGCGCGAATTGAGCCATGACCCCGCGGCACACTCGACACTCTGTTTCGCTGGATGTGACCGAAATCACTGCTTTTGAGTCAGTACCTTTGGACTCCTTCAGAAAAACAGAACCACGCCCTAAAAATGTTGAGACTTGTTTTTCGGGATTGGACGGTCTGGCTTTGGGCCTTCTATGGTAGGTCTAGCGCGATTCTATGCTGGGAGGACTTCAGTGAAAAACGAAGTCTTTGGAGTTGTGCGATTTTGTGTCGGACTCTGCTTTGCGGAGCCGCTCTGACTGCACGGAACTTGTGCTGCCAGCGCGGCAACTCTGCGAAGCAGCATCCGGCGCAGAAGGGAACAATGCTTCCAGCTGTCGGCCCCGCTTCGAGGAGGTGAACGTTCAGGGGACAGCGTCCAAACTTGTAGGCCGGAAACTTGGGCTGTACAGAGGGGGGGGGTCACCAAACGCGCTCTTGGAAGAACGTTGTGATGGTTTGGGCATGACTTCGCAGGTCACCGAAGGCACTTGGGGACGGGCATGATTATGGTTTGAGCATGGACGCGCATGTCACGAACGCACTTTGATGGACATGATCATGGTTTGTGAATGGATGCTGTTATGCCCATACGCTCTATAGGCGGTGCACGTTATTCTGATTTGGGCATGCGTGCTCTGATGAC